GCGGGGCTGCGCGGGTGCGCGCCGGTGCGCGCCCGTGTGTGCGTGCACCTAGAGCAGATCATTGGAGAGGGTTTCCAGAAGGTGGAAAATGTCACCTGATTCACACTGAACTTTTTAAATCTCCCCACCCCCGAGCAGACACACACACACACTAGGAGACCGCCCACCGCAGACAGCTAAGACCCCCGTATAGATTTAAAGAGAGACTGCATTCAGAGCCTGACGTTCATTCAATAGAGCGATCATAAGCAGGCTGGCTAGTGCTCGCTCCCTCTCCCTACTCCCCCTCACGCTGTTTCTGTGTCTCTCACTCCCTGCTCTGCTGAGGATGTTAAATCAGAGAATCCACCCGGGCATGCTCTTACTCCTGATGTTTCTGTGCCACTTCATGGAAGATCACACAGTGCAGGGTAAGACCAATTGTTTATTCGCAGATACGTTTCTTTATTATTACTATTTTTTTCTGTCTTTCGGGCACGGTTTAGTTTGCTGCGGTGTTAAACGCCTCTCTCCAAGGTCCAACAAGACAGAAGTTCACTGTGGGCTTGGGATTGCTTTGTACCGGGGTTGCAGAGGTGTCATTTAGATTCCTTTTGGATCGGATCTTCGCACTGCTCTGCATAGGCACAGAGGACAGATGAGGATGTTTCTTGGTATTTATTGTTATTATGCAGCATGAATGAAGAGCAGCATCGCGAGGGAACTTTCCCAGTCTCGGCTCCCGAATGAGAGCTCAAAGTTTGTTGGTAATTTAGCTCAGATTTTTATCTCGCCTGCCTGACGGAAGGAGAGGTGGTGATGGGGAGCCCCACGATTACAGCTGACATTTTTAGAAACCAGTAAGTGGTCATTTTCCGGACATTCCTTTAATATTGGGATTTCCTCCTCTCCCCCCTCCTCTTTTTTTTTTTTTTTTTTTTTTTTTTTTTTTTCCGTGACTAAATATTAGTGTTGTAAATTCTCCTGCACCGAAGAGTTTGCTTAAACTAGTTGGTTTTGGTTTTTTTCCATGCGAACCAAACAAACCCGAACCTGATAATGACAACTCTTAAGAGCCCTCTTTCGACACAAGGGAATACTGACTTTTAGTTTTGGGGCTTTTTTCCCTTATCTTGACCGTGTTCCAACCGCAACCTGGATGTCTTACCATTGCTTGTTTTATAATTTTTTTCCTTTTTTTTTTTTCCTTTTCTCCCCACTACCGAGCTAGAGCATAAGTTAAGCTAATGTAGGCAACTGTAAGACGCAAAACTTTTTTTTTTTTTTTTTAAAGGGCGTTGTTTGTTCAGTGATTTTTAGCGGGGCGGGGTCTGTGTGTGTGTGTGTGTGTGTGCGTGTGTCTTCCCCCTCGCCCAGCGATATCACGGCTCGCCGATCCTGACCCCTCGGTGCGGTACATTCCCACTGGAGTAAGGAGGCAGGATCGAGCCCTGGCTGGATTAGCACCAGAATCAATCGGTATTGAGTTGCTGGAGGAGTCACATTGGTTGTTCACGAGAGATTCATCCCAACCAAAACTCTCCACCTAAAAAAGGGGGAGTTGCTTGGACTAATGCTCTTGGCTTGACTCCACAAATAACAGGGATACTATTTTAAAAAAAAAAAAAAAAAAAAAGAAGAAGAACAACAACAACCAACAAAACCCACTCTATCAGGTTTAAGGACAGTGTGCTTTCCTCTGAAGTACTCGCGGGAGAGGTGGCACCTACAACTTTTCCAGCTTAATCGATTTTTAAAACTCTGTAGGGACCTCCTACTCTATGTGCCCTTGTATTTTATGTACTTTGCTCGCTTTTTTGGAGCTCTTCTGACTTACTTAAGTGAAGGAAAGACGTTTGTTAATAGAAGCAGCAAAATGTGGAGATTTCGAAACACTTCACTAACAGCAAATGTTCCCAATTCGTGCAGATTGCAAAATGGGCTGGGACTGAAACTCTGTGCGGCACTAAAACAATGCTGCCGTGCAGCCGCGGTGAGGAGGAGAGGGCAGGGGGAGGAGGAAGGAATTTGCAAGCGCGATTTTCTTTTTATTCCCTTTTAAATGCACATCTTTTTCAAGCCTCTGTCACGTGCCGGCAGTGCTCCTTCTGCTCTACATATGGAATAAATACCTCCGAAAACTGCCTCGTCCTGTTTTGATCGGGTCTTTTCTTTCTGTTTTTGGTTGGTTGTTGTGGGGTTTTTTCCGTTTGTTCTTTCGTGGTTTTTGGTTGGTTGGTTAGTTTGTTGGGGTTTTTTGGAGGGGAGAATATTCTTTTTTTATATATTTTATTTTTTTTAACTGGTCTCCCAAATGGGCCGGCGTAGCTGTGGGTTATGAAACGGGACAAATAAACAGTCTAGTAAAAGTCATTGCAAGGCGCACGTGTTGTGTCTGGGTCACTGGTGCCTGCCACTGATCCGGCTGGGTGTCCGCCCCCGCCCCCCGCAGCTGGGAACTGCTGGCTCCGGCAGGCGCGGAACGGCCGCTGCCAGGTCCTCTACAAAACCGACCTCAGCAAGGAGGAGTGCTGCAAGACCGGCCGCCTGACAACTTCGTGGACGGAGGAGGACGTCAACGACAACACGCTTTTTAAGTGGATGATTTTTAATGGGGGAGCCCCAAACTGCATCCCCTGCAAAGGTGAGGGGGGTGCTGGCGAGCCGCCCTTCGCTGAGGAGCGGT